GAGCCCGATGCAGGGCTTGATCCCAGGACCCTGGGATCATGACCTGCGCCAAAGGCAGAGGCTTAACCCACTGAGCCACCCAGGCACCCCTGTTTGTTTTATTTTTAAAAGATGTTGTTGATTCATTGTGGGGGGAGGGGCAGAGAAAGAGTGTGCCCTTATGCGCATTTGCACAAGCGGGGGTAGGAGTAGAAGGAGAGGGGCAACGAATCCTCAAGCAGACTCCCCACCAGTGCAGAACCCAATGTGGGGTTCCATCCCAGGACCCCAGGATCATGACTTAAGCCAAAGGCACATGACCAACTGACTGAGCTACCCAGGTGCTCCTATACAAACCTACACATGAACTATCTCATTTATTTCTTTTAACAGACTTATAAAGTAGGTCCTGTTGTTAATCCCAATTTATAGCAGGGTTAGGGGCAATTCTCCGTGGGTCATACGGACTGAACATGTCAGAGATAAGTCTCCAAAGAAAAATCAGGATGCCATTAATAGAAGAAGGGGGGAGTGATTGCTAGACAGATAAAAACAAAAGAAGTCCGCTTTAATGATTTTTGTTAGTATTTTCTTTGTTGTTTTTGACCCTCTATTTGTGTTTGATCTATTTAATTTGAGTTCAGAATATTGTTTGTTTTCAGAAAATGTATTAAGTTTTGTCCTTTTTTTGAGACTTCTAGTATAGTTCTTTCGTTTAAGGTCCAGAATCTGAGGGTCAGAATAAGGAGTGTCTTGCCTAAAGTCCTATCACTAAACCAAAAGAATTTAGGAAAGACCTAATTTTCCCATTATACTACCTTGCCTTCTCAGGCTTTTCTCCTGTTTTCAAGTCAGTTTGTATTAAGTAAATACTTTCAGTTTCACTTCTAGCAGGATGTCCTGTATTGAACTCATTTGTAATGCTGAGTTATTTCCTTACTGCCTTGCATCTCTCTATGACTTTTTTGATTGCCATCACCTTTGTGTATGTAGAAAGACTTTGAAGTTGCTTTGAGGTGAGCCTTCTCAGGGATCTTAGCCACTTTTAATAGCTTCCAAATTCTACCATTTCAGGTCCAATTCCCTTACTCAGACCTTCCACATAGTTTGCATGCTAGACTTAGATCTTCTAATTCTGTGACTGTGCTGTAGAGGTAGAGGTAGGGTTGTGTTTTCTGTTTAGTTCATCCTGCAATTGATCACCTTCCGTGCTGTATTGGCAAATGTTCTGGGCATAGAAGCAGCTCTGCAAATGGTGGAGCATGGTTCGTAACCTTGAAGAGTTCAGTATCTTGTGGAGGAGGCAGTTTTTGAAATTGTTCCTGGGGTACCTGGGTGGCTCAGTCGGTTGGGTGTCTGATTATTGGTTTTTGGCTCAGGTCATGATCTCATGGTCCTGGATTCAAGCCCCATGCTGGGCTCCATGTTCCGCATGGAAGTCTGCTTGTCCCTCTCCCCTTGCTCCCCTCCAACTGCTACCCCTCTGTCTGCGTGCACATGCTTGGGCTCTCTCTTTCGCAGATGAATAAATAAATAAATATCTTTTTAAAAATTGTTCATTTATCCTTTGGTGAGTGCAGGATGGGCCTCTCCTGTTTTCCATGTTTCACAGTGGTGGTTGGTATTTGATCTGAATCTTGAAGGATGAATAGTTCTTTACCGGGAGGAGGAGGAGGAGGAGGAGGAGGAGGAGGAGGAGGAGGAGGAGGAAGAGGAGGAACCATAGGTAGGCAAGAAGAGATGTGGCCTGTTTAGTGAATCCAAACAGTCAAGACTGCAGAAGACTTTAAAAGTTGTGGTGCTTAAGTAGTGTCCCTACTGTTTGAATACCTCTTTTCCACATGGCTTTTCCATTTTTCCCAGTGGCTGGTCTGGCTTATGATGGCCTAGATATGATGAAAGAAAATGCTTTCATAGGGGGTAGGAAAAGGAAAAAGAAAGAAGAAGAAAAAAGGAAAATGCTCTCATATTCCTCTAGTCCTAGTTTTGCTCCTTTTGTTTTTTTTAAAAGTAGGCTCCATGCTCAGGGTGGAGCCCAATGAGGGGCTTGTCATAACTCTGAGATCAGGAGCTGAGCTGAGATCAAGAGTTGGACACTTGGTGGACAGCCAAGTGGGACAGCCACCCAGGCGCCTCTGCGCCGTTTTCTTGAATTGACCATGGAGATGTTATAGTTGATCTTTATTGAACAGCTTTATGCTAGGCTTGTGAGGTGATTTGGATATAGTTGTGAACAAGACAGGCCAGGTTCCCTCTTCTGTAGAATAGTCTCGTAGTGGAGTTAGACATTGAACAAGTAATTTCTTGTTGATGAGTACGGAGGGTGGTAAGTAATTTTAGGGTGCTTTGACCTTGTGTGTAGACAAGAGTACAAGGGCAAAAGAAGCTTTTCTGAGGAAATATTTAAGCTAAGGATGAGTAGAAAGCAAGCTGGAGAAAGTTGCATCAGCTACATGTAGACCTACAGTATATTTGCTCTTCATTATGCTTGATTTTTTTCCGCAGTGAGATAGCTGCATACCAGTCAGACAGATGTAGCTCAGATGTTTTGGGCCCGCAATGGGCTTTGAGAGGTATTTATTCGAACCCGAACTGCATTCTTATTAATGAAAATTGCATCCAGTTGTATATGTAGGTAAATAGCATTTGTGAAAATTTTAAGTAAATTACCCTGTTTGATATTTTTCATAAGTTCATATTTTGTATATTTTGTTTTCTTTTGGAAAATAATTGTTAATGTTACATAGAGCATGTCAGATACTTAATGATTGTAATCTTTCTGTGAATTTTTATTCCAACTAATATTGGCATGCTTACTCAGGCCTCATCAAGTGACCTGTGGTAAGTGCGGTTACTCTTAACATTTTTTAATACAATGATTAGGAAATGGAGGCTCAGGGAGGGATATATAGTAGATAAATGTAATAGAGGTAGGATTCAAATCCAAATTTGACTTCTCGGTCTGAATTTTTGAGTTACCTTAGAGTAATTCATGAATTAAAATCTTTTTTTCCCTATTGTTTTCTCTTTAGGTTTTTGTCAGGATGAATTGCCAGAGCTTGACCCAGGCACTAGTAAGTTCTGAATGTTCCCCAGTGTTCGTGAGTAAGAACAAGATGTGTGTGTGTGTCCTTTAAAATATATAACTTGAGGGTGTCATTAGTGGCCATACTGACTCAGATCTTACTTTACTTTGGTTTATAATTATGGGGAGGACATTCTATCTTGTTATGCTTTCCTTTTCTTCTCATATTATTCATTGGTCAGAAATGTAGTAATTTAGTAGAAAATTGGTTTGCAAGAAATTTCTATTTAATATTAATCTCTTTTTTGTTGAAAGCAACAAGAAAAATTGTGTTTCATTTATGCACACATACAACCATATATTCATAACCACTTCTCTAAAGTATTAACTGACTTTGACGTAATTTTTATTTTCTGAAATAACAGGGGTTGGAGAGGAGGGTTTTTTTTTTTAAAGAGGGATTATGCTTGGTTTAGGTGTTTATACTCAATAACCTTTGTACCACAGTTTAATTTCTAAAGCACCTTTATCTACATTAAGGTTGAGCTTATGGTTATGAGGGTGACTGTTTTGAGGTCTAATTTAATGATGCTTTTCAGGTGTCTGTCTTGATCGTAGATAACCATTCGTGTTTCCAGTTGCTCTCAAAATGTGGCATACATCATTCCGAGATATGGTTATAGCTATTAGAAATAGGGCATGGGAATATCCAATGTATAAAGACCTTGTTTTGCTTTAATGCCAAAAGGTTGAATGATAATTCAGATTTGAGAATTCATGAGATGATCTAGAGTTATTTTTTCTAGTTCTAGTACTTTTTAGGGTCATGAGACTGGCTAATTTTCACCAGTCTGCTTGCTGTTGATGTAAGCGGTAAATTTTACTTTCTCACCATCCTAGCTAATATCGGCTCTCTGAGGGTGTGGACCTTTACATATATTTTCCCCACATACCTTAACAATATTAAAATTCATGTCTGTTCAACTAATACTTAGTAATTTCAAGACAAAATGTCCTACAGTGCTTATCAAGCAGTAGGAAAGTAGAATTGTCTTTCTAGAAATTGTTCAGAGTCCGCTTTATAGGAAGTATAGGCTGCCAGTGTCTCTGAGTGAACATAATATTTTCTCATTGTCCTTCTCTTATGAATTGCCTTCATTTAGGAGGAGGAAAAAGGTAAATTCTTGAGTCATGGTCCTTTCTTGGATTTTTTAACATTAGGAAGGACATTGAGATGCTCTGAAATCTTTCAGACAGAACTACACAAAAAATGAGCCAGATAATTGAGAACTCTGTTAAACATAGCATGCTCTTGCTGCTCCAGGTTTAGTTCTAGTAGCAGTACACAAACTGGTAAGTCTGGGGCCTGTCCTCATGTATTAATTTTATTGGAAAGTATTTACTTCTCTGGAATTACTTGAAAAGGCAGTTTTTGAGCCTCTAATTTAGTACATATTACTCAAACTTATTCACCTTTTCTGCACTTAATAGAAATTGAAAATAGCTCCTGCCCATTTTCCAGGAAAGGCCCTCATTAAGATAATTATTGAATTATGCTTCCTTCTGGGCCAAGTAATCCTAACTTATTGAACATTTCTGTTTGAATCTCTAGCCAGATGTGGTGATTTACACACCTGTCCATTCCATAAGAATGAATAGATAATGAGTCATAATTCTGTATATGAGTTAGAATAGGAGTCACTGAAAAGAAAAAAATCACTTTTCTTTTAAAAACTGTGCTTAGCTTATGTAGGCAATATTCTCAGTAATCCCATATTATCTTTGTGAAGTTAATAGTGTTTTATTCCTCTGTCTTTTACAGTATCACTGTAGTACTATTAACAAATGGGCAGAAGTAAAAATTTATCATCTCTTTCTCATACATCTTGGGGTTCAAATAAGCATGTGCAGTCATAACAAGTGATGGGAGACCTCAAGACTGATATGGACTGTATGTGTTGTCTTCATGTGGTTATGAATGTTGATACTGCAGATTTCATGGCTTTTGACTGGGAAGAAATAACATTTTCTGTGTTAATGTCTCACAACTTTCACATATTAGATTGAGAAAAATAGGAATTTCTCTCCAATACTTCTTTGGAATTTAGAGGCCCCAGTGTCTCCTCTATCCCTCAAATTTTTGATAGGGAAAGCCTGCTCATGCTTGCTTATTTTGGAACAGGAAATACCATTGTTGCTGATTTCCCAATGTGGTTGGCAGTGGTTGTAGATAGCAAGTTTGGGACAACAGGTAGGATGTGTTGGAACATAGATGAGGAAAAATATCTGACTTTGTCCTATTCAGATGGCTCTTTTCCCCCAACCTTTTCTGTGATAGAGCAGATGGGTAGCCATGTTTAGAATATGGGCAGCTGTTCACACTCTGGCTGCCTTCTTATGATTCCTGGGCTTCCTGGAGTCCAATGTTATGGCACAGGTTCAGGCTAAGTTCATTTCTACAAGAAGCATCTCTGTACCCTGCCCCATTAGCATAAGCTAGGGACAAGGGCAGTCAAAGGTCAAGAAAAGTTCAAAACAGCATAACCTTTCTGTGCTTCTGTTTCCAAATAACCCAGTCCGCCTTGCTCCCCGAGTTTTTTCCTCAACCGTCGTGTTTACCATGTAGTTGTAAAACTCAAGAGAACAAGGACTGACTTGATACAAGGGAAGTTAGAGAATAGAAGTCATTGTTGGTTAAAACAGGAGAAATAATTGATTTATGTTTGGGGGCCAATTAGGCTATAAAACAGGAACAGTAAAGGGACCTATGACTTTAGGACAGCTACTTGCTCTGATTTCTGTCCCACAGACAAGGGGCTCCCCAATAAAGGCTGTCAGCTTTCTAGGCTAAATTATTAATTCCTTTCATGCCTCTCAGGGATTGTAAACAGCACATAATACAGGAAAACAATTGATACTGTTCAGTTATTGGCTAGATAGAGGGTCAAAGGGTAAATAGTTGGATTAGCAACAGCTGTTCTTTCTCCTCAGTCAAACTTTTGTTTCTTATTATCTGTTTTAGCAAAGTCCTTCCTTAGTTTTTGCCTTCTAAATAGTTAAATCCATTTCGTTCCTTGTAAATAATTATTGATCAGAATTGGAAATGCTCATATTTTAATTCAGTTTCCAAAGTTGAAAGTGAGCATTCTTTTTGTATGTGCTATGTTGTTTGATGTTCAGAGGGTATTATCCCAAGGAAAGTAACTACTTGAAGTTAGATTAGAAGCTTTTTAGCTATTTTTACCAGCTGCTTGAAGATCTTGGTGTAGCTTGATTAAAAGAAAAAAAGTTGCCTTTGTTTAAACTGATAGTAGTAGGATAATGCATGTTCATGTGGAAAACACTAAGAGAAAAATATAAACACCCTGATCCCACCACCCAGAAATAACCATTGTTTCTTATTTGAGATTATGTCCTTCCACCTTATGTCTGAGTTTGTTTTTTACATAATTTGGAATCATAATATATGTACAACTTTGTATCCTGTCTCTCCCCTCCCCCGCATCATTACATTGTGAGCATTGGTCTAAGTCATGAAACATTTTTCATAAATATTTTTAATGAATGGAAGGATAATTGTAAGGGAACAACTTTACCACCATATTTATTTAACCATTCTTCCGTTGCATTTAGGTTTCCAGGTTTTTCTACATTCTATAATACCACAGTAACATGTTTTTTTGTATAAGTTTTTTTTGTCTGCATTTCAAATGAACCGTTAGCATATAAACCAAAACTCTTCTTAATTAAGAGCATGGCCTCTGGCTCAAGATTGTTTGGGTTCTGTTTGGCTTCAGTATTTACTAGGTTTATAATGTTGGCTAAGTTATTTAACCTCTCTGGGCCTCAGTGTTTTCATCTGTAAAATGGGGACAATAAAAATTTATTTATACTTTACAGGGCTGTTGTGAGGATTAAATGAAGTAATACACACACACATATATTTATATTTACATTTAAAACCATGCTTGCCAAATGATAAACACTGTTAAGTGTATGCTATTCTAGTCTATGTAACATAATGTTGAAATTCTTGGTCTTTCTGTATTAATGGACTGTTGTAACTGCACTTTATTCAATTAAACTAGCCTGTGTTTCTTAATGATACAAAGATAATCATTCCAGATGGTAGCAGGTATAAGTTACTGCTTCAAGTGAATATTCCCTCAGAAGAACAGATCTCATATATTGCTGAGTACTTTGGCCAAGACTGTTCTTTACCATCTGGTTGACTGTTAGGCTGTTCTGGTCCCCTTCCCCGCCCCCCCCCCCCCCCCGCAGCCAGCAGGAGGTAACCTCCCAAGTGACCATCTGCCAGCCCATTTATTTAACCTAATAAGAAACTAAAGAAGTTAACCCTCTCCTTATTTAAAACACATACTCATATTATGTACTCTTTGATCAGTACCATGCTTATGTTGGGAAAAAAATTTATACAATTAAAAACCCAACCATTAGTGTTTTAAAAACACTGCATACTTGGGATTCTTGCTGACTCAGACTTTAAAAAGGTATATATATATATATATGTATTTCCCACTAGTGATCAAGGATCTAGATGTAGATAAATGGGCATTTAAAAAGAAACATGAGGGGAGCACCTGGGTGGCTCAGTCAGTTAAGGATCTGCCTTTGGCTCAGGTCATGATCCCTGCATCCCCAGATGGAGCCCCACATCGGGCTCCCTGCTCAGCCGGGGGTCTGTTTCTCCCTCTCCCTCTACTCCTCCTCCCCCCAACCCCCCGCTTGTGCTCTCTCTCTGTTAAATGAATAAATTTGTGTTGTTTTTTTTAGATCTTATTTATTTGACAGAGAGCATGCACACACATAAACTAGCAGGGGGAGAGCCACCCAGGTGCCCCTCGAGACTTTTTGTGGATTCTTCAGACTACAAAAGAATAATGTACTTCTCAGCTAGAGTCTTCTAGGTTCTGTCCAAAATTCTGATATTCTGTACCGTGACTTAATGGGTTCATTCCTAGTCGTCAAACTGTTTGTCACCATTTTTGATCTCAGAAGACACTTCATATAAGCCCAAGTGTGGTCTGC